TAGCCATGCTTTCTAAGGCCCACTTTACTTCACTCTCCAGGATGTTTGGCTCAAGGTCAGCAACCACACTATCTGGGTTGTCCTAGACATCCAGATCTTTCTGGTATAATTCCTTTGCATATTCTTGCCACCTCTTCTTGATGTCTTCTGCTTCTGTGAGGTCCCTACCATTTTTGTCCTTTATCATGTCCATCTTTGCACAAAATGTTCCTTTCATATCTCTCTGGTTTTTCCCTTTCTATTATTTTTCTCTATATCTTTGCACTGCTTATTTAAGAAGGCCCTCTCGTCTCTCCTTGCTATTCTTTGGAAGTCTGCATTCAATTTTCTGTAACTTTCCCTATCTCCCTTTGAATTTTGTTTCCCTTCTCCTCTCTGCTATTTCTAAGGCCTCATTAGACAGCCACTTTGCTTGCTTACATTTCCTTTTCTTTGGGATGGTTTTTGTTGCTGCCTCCTGGACAATATTACGGCTACATATAGGACTGTATAAAACAACAATCACTGTAGTGTCAGTAAATGAAACAGCACTTGGATGGTATGTGCTTCACTGGCATTTTAGCTACCACCACTACCGTCTTGTGTAACATGTGAGAAAGAGAGTCCCATTTAGACGGAGTGAGATTTACTCCTGAATAAATATTACTGAATTACATTGTGAGGCCGCAGTCTTGTGCACAGTTATTTAGGAATATATGCTGTTGAACATAGTAGGACATTGTTATGAATCTTTGAGTCCTGAGGATTGATTGATTTTTTAATTGCTTTATCTTGAGTGATAAATTGTGCCACTGATGAGGAGGGATGGATTTACTAGATTGTTTGTCCAACTAAATCTGTGATCTGACACTTCCAAATAAATTCCACTGAACTTATTCTGCTTGTTTCCTCAGAAATATGATACTGCAAATTAGATTTACTTGGTGGGCTGCATGCCTTTGGCCATCAGTTTCTGGTAGTCAATGCTTTTTGACAGTTAAAACACAGAATGCATATATATTGAACTTTAGAGGCACTAAAACGAGGCTTAAAAGAAATTATTTATAAAAATGCATCGCATCTATTCCTTTTTACAAGTACAGTCTTCTCTGTTCTTATGCTGTGCCTGAAAAATAATAAACAACTCTTTAATGTCTTGTTTAAAGTAGTTAGATTGTTTCTTGCATATTAAAATGTTAGTGAGCCAAGTACTGTATAGTTGAGTTCTTTGAATTTTCCTTGCAGCTCCTTCTGTTAATGTAAAATGAATTTTCAGATTAAATAAATCAGTGCCACCTTTGTTTTATTAAGTTTATCAGTGCAAATGTTTTGGTTTCCTATAGTAGAAGCCGCCATTCACATTTTAATGTAATATATAGTCAGAAAAGTTGTGTTCATGTTAATCCTAATATATCATACAAATAGAAAAAAGGCAATAGGAAGTAAACTGTGTAATGAGTAAATATGGACAGCTTTGAACATTGAAACTGAAAACTATGGTTGTTTTACACCTAGATGTGTAGCGCGCAATGCAATCCAAACTCAAAGATGTGCCAGCTATAGTTGGTTTGGAATCAGCAGAAGTCTTGTATCATCACACTGCCTTTATACTAGCTATTACAAGATCTGTTGCCACAACTGCATCTGCCGATGTGCCCTTTGGGTGGTTGGTTGGGTTTTTTGGACTCCAACTCCCAGAATGCTCCAAGAATTTCCCAGGTAGAATTCTAGGAGTTCCAGCCCACAGACCCACACGTATAGTTTGCGCACCTGGATTCCTGAGGAATCATACTTCATTGGGAGGTGCCTTCCAAAGGGCAGGGAGACAGTGTCTCCCAGGAAACATTGCTCCTGGATTATGGGGATGCTTGAATGAAAATAGCCAAAATACTATTCTATAAAATAATGGTTAGGATACTGATTAGGGATTAGACTTTTGGGAAAAACAAACTCTATATGGAAGCAACCTCTGTTAGGACTCTTTCCACTATACATCCTCGTAAGTTACATGGATTCCCCACAACTTGCAGAGGTGCCCTGGGATGCTTTGATGAAACTGTGGGATAAGTTTTGCCATCTTTCTCAGTGCTGTATTTTCAGCATTACCATAATTTCCCAGCATACGTATAGTTTTTATACTTGACACTGCCACAAGTGATTTAGGCTCCAAGGAAAAAAAAAGTAGTGGCTCACTTTGATGTCCCAAAACTTTGATCCCCAACAACTGATTTGGAGGATCTGTTTCTCAGAATTTTTTAGCATCTGCATTCTTAGGCTACAGTCCTGCATTGTCATAACTGGACATGGGTCCTGTTGAACCCAGGAGAATTAACATTTAGATGAATATGTATAGGATTGCACTATGTGAGATATCTTTTAGCTCTGTTTGATGTCCGGGTGTCTCTCTTTCTCCCTTTCATTCAGCACGGTCTGCTGTCTTTCTGTAGACCATTTCCAGGGGTCTGGAGGAATTGTCATAGAGAGGAGGAAATTGTATATCTGTCAGCCCAGATACACATGGCTACATCTGGATGCCGTAGTGTGTCTGTGCATGTGCCTTGTAATCTCTGCTTTGGAATGTTTGTTTCCTTCACAAAAGTCAGCAGGAGCCTTAATACTAACTGGCCCAAATCCTTTTATGTCTCCCAATTTTGCCTGCATAATGCAACTGGTGTAACTTTTGTACATGAATTGCCTTAAGTAAAAAAAAAAACACTAGGCACTACCTTGAGAACATACAAAAGAAAATATTTCTTTACTCAGTGTCCTGTAAGTCTGTGGAACTCCTTGCCACAGGATGTGGTGATGGGGATTGGACAGATTCCTGGAGGAAAAGCCCATCGCATGTTACAAGCCATGATGGGGATGTACAATCTCCAGGCTTAAAAAGAAGGTACTTCAAAATGCCAGATGCAGGGAGGGGTATCAGGAGACAGGTATCTCACAGTGGCCGCACTAGATGCCAGAGGCGTCTAGTGCGGCCACTGTGAGATACAGGAAGCTGGACTAGATGGGCCCTTGGCCTTATCCAGCAGGGCTCTTCTTATGTTCTTACCTGTTGCATACTGAGTTGTGCGACTCAGCATTGGCCTTATCTTTCTATGGAGATTTTTTTAACACAGAATTTTGGCCTATGTTTGAAACATGATCTTATTCTGTTTGTTTTGTTTGTTTCTGTAATATGTAAATGCAAAATTGATTGAAATTCAGTTAGATGCAGACATGTGCTAAAAGCATTATGACTGAAAAATCAAGTCCATTAAGTCCAGAACCAGCTGTTAATACGATCACACTGCTGCCACTGAAAACAGAGTTCTTATCCTCCTTCAACTCTCTTTCCTTTCCTCTTTTACCTTTGCAACACATTTGTTAGGAGTGTAATAATTACTCTCACTTGGTATCAAATCTAAAAACTAGATGCTATGGAGGTCAAGTGGCCGTTATGAAAAACGGGCTCTGGATCCCTTCAGCCCATCTTTTAACATCTAGCGATGCAAAATGTGCAATGAATGTCATTGCACCCTGATGTTCTCCGATGTTGGTAGCAGCCACTGAAATTAGAGAAGGAGTGGCAGCACAGCATAGATGGTATATAGGTATACATGCTGGATTTTATGGCTGCCAAGCAGTTTTCATAATGTCTAATCTCAAACTTAGTACTGAATATAAACAATTGCACTATTACTAGTTAATAGATTGTCTTGCTGAATTTGTTTACATGTTGATTCCATACTATAAAGTGGGATTGTATTGTAAAAATTCTTTTTTTATATATTTTAGGTATAATATTGAGCCCAGCCTGTATTGTCCCTTTTTCTCTCTTGGAGCTTGTATGGAAGGTCTGAATGTCTTGTTCAGTAAACTCTTAGGAATTTCTCTCTATGCTGAGCAGCCTGAGAAAGGAGAGGTGTGGAGCGAGGATGTTCGCAAACTGGTAAGAATTCTAATTCTTGAATATCAGGAAGTTCATAGTTTAAACCAATACAGATAACAATTTATCTGAGTGCAAGAGTAAGAGAGAGGACAAACTCATGCTAGGATAAACAAATGCATTTCATCACATGGGGAGCACAGCGTCCAAATAAAAACTAAGCATCTCATCTAGTTTAAGCTCTACTTTGCTACTAAGGAAAGTGTAAGATGGTTCAAATGGAAGAACGTTCCTAAGTAGCCCATCTCTGCTCTTTTACAGAATTGGTGGAATTCTTTGAATTAACTTTTTAGGATTTCTTTTTTTTACTGTTAACAGTTTCTTAGTTCCAAATAGATAGTACAATCCAGATGGAAAGATATGATGACTGTAACAGGACAGAAGTGTTGTGTGCCAACTGCTCTCAGGTCTGCAGATACAAGTGGATATGCTGCACTGTTATTATTCTGGTTTCTATTAGTCAGCAGAAGGGGGGTGGAAAGGGAGGGGGAAGCAAGGAAGAAACCAAATTATGCCAAATCCAAACCGTTCTTAGCCCAGACTCACAGCTACTGTGTCAGCACAAGATTAAGGCAAGATCAGGATAGACGTAATTAGCTTTCAGCCTCCCTAGGCTGGGTGGGACTTTGATTCAGCACAACTTCAGCTGGCTTTGTGTCAGCTCAGTCAGCCTCCAGCCATCTTGGGTAGTTTGGATTGCGTCCTAAATCAGTTAAGATATTTTGGCAGTGCAGAAGGAAGGAATAGCTTGGTGGATCATCCAGTAGTATTATTATCCATATCAAGTGAAGGCAAAGGGCAGCAGATCAGGAAATTTCATATCCAACAAAACTGATACAATTCTGGCCCTCTGGCATCATTTGATTATTTTGGGTTATTAAATATGAGGTTTTGAGCTTGAATTAACAGCATTTTCCACTATTAGCCTAACATAAGACAGGTATAGAAAAGCCCAAAACCACTTCTAACATTACATTACCCTCCCTGCAGTTTAAAAACAAAATAAAGGTATTTGGAAATCATTAAGAAACCCATGTATTCTAAATTTATAATATCATAAAATAATTGAGTTGGAATGGGCCTATAAAACCATGAAATCCAACCTCCTGCTCAGTGCAGAAATCCAAATCAAAGTGGATTTGATAGATGATTCTCTAATTTTCTCCTGAATGCCTCCAGTACTGCCACCTCCTGAAGCAATTGGTTCCATTGTCATACTGCTCTAACAGTTAAAACTTTTTTTTTGATACTCAGCCAAAATCTGGCTTCCTATAACTTGAGCCCTTTATTACATGTCCTGCATTCTGCGATGAACAAGAACAGATCCTGCCCCGTCTCTGTATGACAATCTTTTAAGTATTTGAAAAGTGTAATCTACTGTGTATCCACCTGAAACTTGTGCCATCCAGCTCACATCTAGTTAGCTTGCTAATCAGAATATCATGGGGCATACTGTACTGTCAAATGCTGAAGTCAAGATATATTATGTCTACAACATTCCCACCATCTACCAGGGAGATTATCTGGAAAAAAAATAAAATAGGATTAGTTTGGCAGGATATGTTCTTGACCAGTCCATGTTGGCTTCTAATTATTACTGCATTGTTTTCAAGATACTCGCAGAGAAGTTGTTTTATAATGTACTTCAGAATTTGTCCTGGGATTGATGTTGGAGTGTGTGAACCCTGTCAGCCCCTTTTCCTCCTAGTGCAACATTATGGTACGAAGATGACTTTGAAAACTTCCTTTTTTAAAATAAAACATTTATTTAATAACAAACTTTTGTGGTCTTTGTCAACAACAACATCAGCCTCTTGCTTTGTAGAGATGGTGCCAAACCTTTCATCCTCAAACAGTAACAGATTCCCCTTAAACATGAGAGGCGAAGAATTCAAAACATGATCATACCATTTAGACTCATAGCCCAGTTTGTCTGCTGCTATTACTCTTGGTCTCACTGAGGGGGGTGAAATATCCAGCCCACCTGTGGTTCCCATACTGGTCTGCCTGGCATAGGTCTTAGGTTGGGGTGAAATGGACTGACCCCAGGGGGTTTCCCAGGTCTCTCTGTACTTTGGTTGTGTTCCTTCCATTGGGTCTCTCTCTGTACCCAAGCTTTATATTTCTTTCTTTCCTCTCTCTGTTTTGTCTTGCACCAATATGGAGGTTTTCTATATATCTGTCTCTTCCACTCTTTCTCTGCATACTCTCTCGGTACCTTAAATTCCACCCACTCCCCTGTCCAGGGGTCTTCTTGTATCAAATCTACTAAATCTTCTTTTTCCTCCACCTTCTCTATCCAACATGCTTCTCCCGCTCCGAGATCTACTAACTGCTGCTCCTCCTTCTTTCCTTTTTCTCCTTTCTCCTGCCTTCCTGTCAAAATAGCACCTCCTCTCACTTCTGCCTCTAAATTTAGTTCCTGTAAATCTTTCATTAAGTCCTGTCAGTTATCCTTCATTGTTTCCTGTAAAAAGACAGATGGAACACCGCTTTGACCACCTTTGAAGGTGTTCCCAGTCTCACAGGGTGACTGGTCTGTAGTTTTCTGGTTCCTCATTTTTGCACTTTTTGAAGACAGGAACAGTGTTAGCCCTGCTCCAATTATCTGGCACTTCAACCAGATCCTCCATGATTTCAGGAAAATAATAAGTGGTTCTGAGATCTCTTCAGCCAGTCCCTTAAAAATCCTTGGATGCAGTTCATCCAGCCCTGGGGAATTTGAACTCATTCAAAGTACAGTGGTGCCTCGCATAGCGACGATAATCGGTGCAGCAAAAATCGCTGCAAAGCGATTTCATCGCTATGCGATATTAAAAAGTCCATAGGAATGCACTGAAACCCCTTCAATGCGTTCCTATAGGCTTCAGACTCACCTTAAAGCGAAAATGCTCCATACGGCGGCCATTCTCGCGGCCCGGTAAGCGAGAAATCCGTCCCAGAAAACAGCGGGCAGCCATTTTTTTTAACCCGGCAGCCATTTTGGAACCGCCGATCAGCTGTTAAAAATCATCGCTTTGCGATGACTGGTAAGCGAAAAAGGGTACCGATCATCGCAAAGCAATTTTTCCCCATAGGGAACATCGCAAAGCGATAGCAAAAAGTTAATCACTATGCGATTTCTTCGTTAAATGGGGCGCCCATTAAGCGAGGCACCACTGTACTAAGGTGTTCCTTGACTGTTCATTTATCAATCTCAAGCTGCAATCCATCCCCTCCCTTTGTACTTCACATTTGCCTGGAGGGCCATAGACTATCTTTTAGGAAAAGACAGAGCTGAAGTCGGAATTGAGCACTTTCACCTTTTCTTTGTTCGTATCATTTTCCCATCTTACTGAGTAGCTGAACCACTGTTTCTTTTCTCTTTTGTTATGCATGTATCTGAATTTTTCCCCTTTTGTTGCTTTTGGTGTCACTAACTTTGTTTCATTCTTGGCTCTTGCCTTCCTAAAACCATCCCTGCAATTCTTTACTACTTGTCCATACGCTTCCTTTGAGGTGTGGCCTTTCTTCCATTGCCCATATGTGTCCTTTTTTGTTTTTGTTTTTTGAACTTTTTGTGAAGCTACATTGGTCTTTTTTTGCTGTCTACCTCCTTTTTTTCTTGTCGGAATTGTTTGCAGTTGTGCCTTTAGAATTTCCTTTTTAGCTAAATTCCTACCCATCTTGGATTTGTTTTTCTTATTAGGATCTCCTGCCATGGGACTATCATTGTTCTGAGTTTATTAAAATTGTATTTCCTAAAATACAGAATATACATGCAGCTATACTATGCTTTTGTTTCCTTTGAAACCAAGAGCTGAAGTACATGGTCACTTTCCCTCAGATTTCCCCTTAAACTCTGGGGAAAGCTTGATATACCGTATTTTTCCGTATATAAAACAACACTTTTCCCTTAAATAATTTGAGAAACAATTGAGGGGCATTGGATACATGGAAGGCAGCTCTTTACCCCTGCATTTTGCAAAGGCACGGGGCTTAGCAAAAAGGAAGGGGAGGCATTGCTCCTGTCCTTTTTGCTAAGCTCCGTGCCTTCTCTAAAGGCAAGGAAAAGCAGCAGCCACTTTGACAGCCACTTTCCTTGCCTTTTGCCAAGGCACGGGGCTTAGCAAAAAAGGAAGCCCTTTGATCCCTGATTTTTCTAATTTGGGGTTAGAAAAGGAGGGTCATCTTATACATTGAGTCATCTTATAAACGGAAAAATACGGTAATATTGACCCATATGAGTTGCACAGACTTAAAATATCATGGGAACTTTGCTGGTCGTGTGGCATTTCTAGTCTTACAGAAATGAACTGTCCATTTTGTTTTTGCTTTTTAAGGTGTATCTTGTCTAGAGGAGACCCAAATTAACGTTTTAGCAGTAGAGAAATGTGACATTAATACCAGCCTTGAGTCTGTAAATAAGATGCTATTGAAAATCCAAGATTTTGCCTCTTTCTTTCCTTTAGTGTGACCCTCTATGGAGTCATCTTTCATATCTCTACAGTTAGATTGTAAAGACCAAGTGCTGATAGAAGCTGTCATTTGTCATATCTCTGTAAAGTGAATTAGCTAATCTTTCTGCTTCATCTTTCATAACTGCTTCATGATAGATCTATGTCTACTGTGTTTAATTGTGGTACAGATTTTTAATTCAGCATGTCAAACCCTGCTTGAAAGGTGTTGATTGTTTCCTTATATTATGGATCATCTGCTTAGCTAAATAGGAGGAACAGTGTTCTGAAATGCTTATTGATCTAGCAAATAATGCCTGAAAAGATTAGGATGTAACTGTAGTCTAGGAAGTATGTGTCATGGAACTCAGTGGGCCCTTTTTTGAGTAGAATTGAAAGATTTTGTTTTAAATGCTGTCAAGAGTAATAGGAAAGATTTGTACTTCAGTATGAAACATAGATAGGAAGGTAGGTAAATGTTTACAGTTTCCACGATTTGTATAAAAATGTCACATGTGTTCCAAAAAAATTTAAAATCATTGCCATAATATTTAGGGTTATTTTGATTGTTCACACAATTTTCACATTTTATCATTAGGCTGTAGTCCATGACCAAGAAGGATTATTGGGCTATATCTACTGTGATTTCTTTCACAGGCAAGACAAACCTCATCAGGTAACAATTCTGGTTTCATAATGCTATAGAAAACTTTGGTTTAAAATAATTATTTGAGTAAGACCAGGGTTGGTAAAATCTAGAAGTCATTTCTGGGACGGTAATATTTTTGTAATGATCCTATATTTTAATAAGCAGAAGTTTAGTGATGCAATCTATTGAATAACTACTATTTTAGTTACCATTTTAATATAATACTTGTTCAGTTCTTTTTTCATGTTTGTATGCTTATTGTTTTAACATTTAAATACATACATACATACATACATACATACATACATACATACATACATACATACATACATACATACATACATACATACATACATACATACATACATACATACAATTGCATGATTCCCCATCATTTTTGTGTTTCTGATAATTTTAAAATAAATACATGTCCATCATCCAGCTAACAAAAAAACCCATGCATTTGTTGTAAAGATTTGTTTATAGCCTCTTGGATAGTGGTGGTGGTAGTCTGGTAAGGCACATTTATGTAGATGAACACAGACTTAATCAGTGGGTCACAGTAGTCCATATGAACAGTTGTGCTAATAGTGCAAAGTCAACTACCCAAGTGGTAGTGTATTTTCAGCATAGTGTAAGGCTTGCACACTGTTCTTGCATAACTGCTAGCACAACTGCCTGTGGAACAGTATAATCCAGGGGAATTGTATTAGGAGAGGTTAGGCTAGGCTTTCTGTAGCTAGTAATTAAGAAGCTAGCCTCACACATATGTTTGAAACAATGTAAACAAAACCGTAGATAATATTGTAGTAATGTCTACTATGCCTATTAGAATGACAGAACCCTGTAAATAAAAGAGAACATAACAGAAAGCAATACCAGAAAACAGCAAATTTAAGCCAACACATTTCATAATTCTCCGTAATTCTCTGAAGTGACTTTGTGCTGATATGTATCATTTCACAATTTGTTAGCGCGCGCACATACACACAAAATAGGCAACCCTTGCAGGTAATAAGAGTTTTGCTGACTATCAAGATGAATAACATTTTGGGTATTTTTTCCCACAAAACCTGCATGCGTCTTATTCTGTTTATCATTATTGAACACTATCATTTGTATGATGCTGTATTCTCAGGCTTAAGACAACAGTGTACAACCTGAGAAGATTTAGTTTCGTCTGATGATCTGAAAGGGGATCAAGCTCAGATTCACTCTTGATACAGAATTTGGTTCCCAACATATACCGCGAATTCTGTTCTTGTATTTGTCTGTGTACTCCTAGTCATATTTATCCAAAATAAGTCTCATTGGCTTCAGCGGCCTTACTTTAAGTCACTGTGCATTGGATCAGTCCTTAGCATTAGATCCTGAAATCTGTGAATAGAAGAAGTTCATGGAAGAGCACTTTCCCATTTTCTCCTCCATTCTACAGCCTCCCCAACCCTCTTTTAAATTCTTCCCCAGTTGGGGCACCTCCTAATTGAGACGCAGGAAGCAGCTAGGAGAATACGGAATTGCTCAAGTATCTCACTGCATTGCATTTTATTTTTTCCTCTCCTTTGTTAAAATTAGAAGAGTAGAGCTGCATACGTATTGAATGTTTAAGTGTAGAATCGTGGGCTGAACAAGTAGACTATCATTCCACCATCTCAACAAGGGGTACCATTTTTTAAAAAATAAACTGACAAAGAGAATATCAAATAATCAAATTACACTGAAGGTCTCACTTGCCAAGCATGTAAGCATCATAGTTCTAGTATAGTACAACAGCTTGGTTTCAGTTGCATGTCAATACACAGGCTGTATGACTGTTGGAAATGCCTGATTTCCTGAACTGATATTAAAATGGGGATTTTTCCCTCTGATCTTTTTTTAAAAAAATAGGATTGTCACTTTACAATACGTGGAGGCAGACTGAAAGAAAACGGAGAATATCAACTTCCTGTTGTAGTCCTTATGCTAAGTTTGCCTCATTCTACAAGTGGTTCACCCACATTGTTAACTCCTGGAATGATGGAGAATCTCTTCCATGAAATGGGACATGCTATGCATTCTATGCTGGGAAGAACTCGATACCAACATGTCACAGGTAAGTAATCAATGTTAGGATACTAGTTGAAGGTAAATTAATCCTTAATTTTTCATAAGCAGGTCTCTTATATTTTGTACTTTGTATACGTGGTTTCAATGCAAGTAGATATTTTAGTTTCATCTTAAGGCAATTGAAATTAATTTATCAGACTTATTTCCAACTTCCTGGGCTCTAAATGGTATATCCGATTGTTCAGAGTTGTATATTATTTCTTTATATATTTATTAATTGTATTTATCTTACTAAGTCATAGTTCAGGCTGATTTGAGAATGGTCACAGCTGGTTTTCTCATGCAGTATATTCTTTATTTATTTATTTTTGAATAGTATTTATCTTACTGAGTCATAGATCAGACTGATTCAGGAATGGTCACAGCTGGTGTGCAGTGTAGTTAGGCAAACAAGCTCGGTGTCACTGCTACTGTCTGAAAATCCAATAGCAGATGAAATTCAGAGGCAGAGAACAATCAAGCAGCACTCCTGGAGCAGAATTCTGTCTTTTTGGGGTTAGCAAAATCACATCTAGAACACAGTGATCCTCCAGCTAGTCATTCAGTGGATCAACAAGATTACAGTCTCATCTGGATTTAATCTCAGTTGGCCCACCTAATTCCATTCCATTATCAAAACCTGGCAAGTGGAAACATTTGATCCAGTTTCCAAGAGACCTCCATGTTTTAGCCTGAATGGGAAAAGAGAACCGGGGCAATGCAGTGCAGGAACAGACTTAATTCCCAATGGATAGGATAGGGAGTAGGTTTAACCTCCATCACAGGATTGTCTATATTAATTAAGAAACTACAGGTAGCACTAAAATAACTCTGCAAGTTTTTTTTAAGAGAGGATGTGGCACAATTCATCTTTAAATTTACTCCTTGTGGCTTGTCAGTGGTTGGGGATGGTCTTGGAACTTAGGTATTGCTTTGAGTTTCTCCCCTAGCTCACGTGTTTCTTGAAAAGCTGGGAGCCGCTCTAAAAGCATCCCCTGTGGTAGTTAAAAATCACTGTGCTATAAGGATGCAACTGGGCAATATAAATTACATGTTATCCCTTACATCCCTTGAACTGGTCACCGAATCATAAGAGGCTGATACAAAATGGACCATTGATCTGTCCACTTAAGTGTTGCCAAATCTGATACATAGTGGCCCTGCAACATTTCAGGTTGAATTCTCTGCTAGCCCTACCAGGAGATCCTTGGCATTCTTTGGTAATTTTGCATCCAAATGCACACCCAATCATGCTTAGCTTCCGAAATCATATGAGATCAGGTATTGTGGTGGCAGATGACATCACCTGTTCAAGTATAATGTAGCTTTAAGGGGGCTAATAAAGAGTGCCAGTCCCCCCTGCCTTTTTTTTAGGAAAAAAAGGGGGGAAGGAAAGGAAAGCATGAGATGTGTGCACATCATCGCAGAGAATAGAAGTGTTATCTATTGCCTTACCATCAACATGTCCATGTCATTCATACAACTTGTCCTGCAAGTGTCATTCACCCTGGTAGGTTAAAGAAAGTCTCACAGAAATGATATATTGTGGTTTGGGAGACACATATCTCAAATAGAACTACTTCCTTCAGGAGTCTATATGCCATATATCAAATAGTAAGGAAAACGGAAGAAAACTGTAATCTGAAAATATTTGCTACTGTAATCTCAAAAATGTGTGAGACACAAAACAAGAGACACTGCATTTGAGGAAGAGTTTTCAACAAGAAGAATTTAATTCATCACATTCCTTGAGGTAGCAAAAAAAATCCCCCTTCAAATGACTGGCATTTTGGGGGGAAGAAAAGCGAATTAAGTCAGATCATCAGATAGATGGGAATGATAATATTTGTAAATGGGATTAAATTCTCAAGTACAGCTTTATAGCTTTATTGTACCTGGCTATAGAATTAAGGCAATTAAAGATTTGTTGTTTAATGTGGGACCAGATTGGCTGCAGCCTGGCTTAAGTTTATAAAGGGTGTGATCCTCAACTTTATAGGGTGCCTCACCCAGCTGTTCAAATATTGTGTTTTACTTTGTGATTTGCAGTAAAACGTGTAGGATTATAATTTAACTGGCCTGCCAATATGTACAATAATGTTACAGAAATGAAATATTTACCTAATGAAAGATTTATCACAGTTCATCAGAAGTGCAAATGGAAAACTAAGACGAGCATAGACAGAGGAGTTCATGTAAACATTATGGTTACCTGCTTGTTAATGCTTTGTGTCCTTCAGGGACAAGATGTTCTACTGACTTTGCTGAAGTGCCCTCTATCCTGATGGAATATTTTGCGAATGACTATCGAGTGGTGAACCAATTTGCAAGACACTATAAAACAGGACAGGTAAGTATATCTAGAAATTACAGTTAAGTTTTTTAAAATACAGTGGTGCCTCGCATTACGATGTTAATTTATTCCAGCGAAATCACTGTAGAATGAAAATGTTGTAATGCGAAAATAAAAAGCCCATTGGAACGCATTGAAACCCCTTCAATGCGTTCCAGTGAGCTGGAAACTCAGCGAAGATCCTTCATAGGGCAGCCATTTTCGGTCCCTGTGCAGTGAGGAATATGTCCCAGAAAACAGCGGGGAGCCATCTTATTTACCCGGCGGCCATTTTAATACCGCCATTCAGCTGTCCGAAAATCGTCGTTTTGCGAAGAATCGGTTCCCGAAGCAGGGAACCGATCATCGCAAAACGAAAAACCTCTATTCAGACCATCAGTTTGCAATCGCAATTGCGACCGCAAAAAGATCGTTATAATGCGGTTTCGTCGTAATGCGGGGCAATCGTAAAGCGGGGCACGACTGTAGTTATTTCTGTCTTAGAAAACAATTCAGTTTCATTATTACAGGAAGAAAAATTAAGTACTTCCTAAGCATATTACATAATTTTCAAATAATGTGAGCATACAAATCCTACAGAGAGTAGTGTGAATTCAGAATGTTCAGGTGATCTTTGATCAGGATTAGAGTTGGGCATGACCTGCTGATTCTGCAGTTTGCGCTGGTTTCTTTTTCAGCCAACCAGGTGTGCGGTGCTTCCCAGCCCTGCCTCCTCTGGGAGGCACCCACTCAGAGGCAGTGCCCTGACTTCCCTCCCCCACCTCCTTTGTGCACTGCCTCTAAGTGGGCACCTGTCAGAGCAGGCGGGGCTGGGAAGCACCAAACACCTGTTCAACCTAAAAACAAGCCATAACAAAACACTAAACTGGCAGTTTGTGCCTCTCTCTAATGAGGATCCATCGTATACCATTCCTTGTTGATAGAACAGGTCAAGATGAATATACTTCAGTGAATTTATTTGTCACATATTTAGCAGAGCTCCAGATACCCCAGGCATCTAAACATAAAGGCCCAAAATCTACTTTACAGTTCTGATTAAAACAGAGCTATTAAATCAGAGGGCTAAACATAAATGTAAAGGTAAAGGTTCCCCTTGACATTTTTAGTCCAGTCGTGTCCGACTCTAGGGGGCAGTGCTCATCTCATTTTCAAGCCATAGAGCCAGCGCTTGTCCGAACACAGTTTCCGTTTTCACGTGGCCAGTGTGATTAGGGTACGCCATTTTACCTTCCCACTGGGGTGGTACCTATTTATCTACTCGCATTTGCATGCTTTCAAACTGCTAGGTTGGCAAGGAGCTGGGACAAAGCGACGGGAGCTCACTCCATAGCGTGGATTCGATCTTACGACTGCTTAGCCCTCAGCGCCACCACATCCCTCCAAATGTTGACCTACCACTTAATAATTGATCCAGTTTGCATTAGCAGTTGGATTTAGGGCATCTTTACAATGGTATTAGTGATATTTCTCCAACCCCGGTATCCCACAATATAGAAAAGGACTTCTAGAATGATGTGGGTTTAAAAGATAAATATATTCAAGGAGGATTTTCACAGTAGAACTCTAAGCAATTTCTTTGGAAGTAAACTCCGCTGAATCTGCTGAGGTTTACTTTCGGTTAAGTGTACCTAGTAGTCTATCGTAGACTTTGAGTGTTGTATGCCACTTATATTTTCAGATACCTTAACAGATATTGTTTCATTTTAGTCCATAAATTTGGGGGCACTATGTGACTCATTCAAAATATTCTTGGTCTGTTTTGTGATGGAAGATGTTTGACATAAAATCATTACAGACTAGGAAGCAATTGAGTTAGCTTTAATTTAGTTTTGAAGGGTGGACAAGGTGAGCTATAATATAGGATTAGAACTCAAACCTGGTTACTGCTGTTTTGTCATCAGATGTGTGCTTCTCTTAAATACTTTAGAAATTAGTTTAGACTCTACTGTCTTATTTTTCTTCCAGTTAGCTTTAAAAAGTTTGATACTAATCACTTCATTTCCTGTAATTATGCATATGCAGACAAGTAGTAAGAATTTAAGAACAGACCTATTGTTCATTTTAATTATATTAATTGCTTTTGGTAACTGAGAATTGTTGCTGTGATTTAATGCTTTCAAATATGTTTACTAAAACTCTTTGCAAAAATCTCTTCATTAAGGATTCTTGGTTTCAGAACAAAAAATGAGGCTAAATGTTGAACTAGGAAAATCGTTTGGAAATTATGTAGGAAATGTTTCTACTTTGTCTTACTTAAGAAGCACATTGCCCGATATAGCATGATTCTTTTACAGTGGCCCATCAAATATCTGCTGAAATTTTAGGACGATAGCCTGAGGAAAATGTCAGTCTTGTTTCATTGTTCCCAGTTTTTGGTATTCAGAATTATACAACCTCTGAACAGCACCAAACAGTCTCTTTAGCAATCCTGGCTAATAGTAATGGACAGACTTTGTGATTTTGTCTGATCCTCCTTTTAAAAAGGAGATCTTAACAGCTGTCAACCCATCTTGTGAACTCTATGTTAATTATTATATTATGAGGAAATGATCTTTGTACTTTTTCTACTCTATTCATTTTTCTATAAACGTCTGTCTAATACAATGTGAAATGTGCCTTTTTGAGTCAGTGGGGCTAGCTAAGAGTAAATGAAAGACTGAAGCCCTGCAGGGCAATCCTGCCTTCAAGGATGATTTGGGCGGGGGAGGGGGCAAATCTCTCGGCAGCTGCCACATCCTGTGAACTGCCATTTCTCTGTGGATGGGGTAGAAAAGGTAAAGCAGAATACTAAATTAATCATAGTTCCAAAACATAACTTGACTAATATTCCTGGAGAACTTAAAGAATAGATTTGCATTACAGTATTAGGATAATTTGACTACCAGTCAGAATAGCCGGCTCAAGGCTGACTCAGCCTTCTAAATTATTAGGATAATTTGACTACCAGTCAGACGTTCTGTGGACTGAAATCAGATATATTGTTAAGAAAGAATGTGAAAACACCATACCTGTAGGAAGCAGCTTAATGGATGGCTGATGAAACTCTTAAAATATTTATGAATAGATGAGACGCTAAAATGAAAGATGATAGAAATAGGGTCAGATTTTTCGATGCACCTTTTTTGTGACTAGCATATAGAGACAAAGAGAACTGTAATATTTACTGGGAGGTGTTTTTTTTTAAGAGCAATTTTTAAAAAATCCAAGAAATCAAAGGCAATTTTAAATTTAAAAAAGGGATGATGAAAAATAAGCATGGGTATGCTTTATCTGAACAGGATAGAACAGAGAGAAGAACTGCTGGATAGCTCAGGGGTTTAGGTACCCGGTCGTGGAGCTAGAGGCTGGGAGTGTTTCCCCACTGTGTTTCCTTGACAGGGGCTGGACCTGACCCCTTTCAGCTCTGCAGTTCTAAGATGTAAAGATGAGGCATTCCTTCAAAGAAGAATCTTTCGAGGAAGAACCTTCATTTGAGAAAGTGAAGTGGAAACTGGACACAAAACAACTAGAAGGAATGATGTACCAGGAATAGATAAGATACTAGTAAAACTATTTCAACTTGCAGAATCTGTCAAAATCCTAACAAGAACATGCCAGCAGTTATGGAAATCAAAGCAGTGGTCCACAGACTAAAAAAGAAAAGAGATGTAAAAAAGACTGCAGCAACTATTGGACCATTGCATTAATGGGCCATGCAAGCAAAGCATTGCTCACGTGTATGTAACAAAACTTATATGGAGCAAGCAGTGTCAAATGTTCACACTAGATGCATAAAAAGAGGAGGCACTAGAGATCTCATTACAAATATTTTTTTGGCTATTAAAACATATAGAAGAATTTCAGAAGAAAATCAAGATATGTTTCATAGATTACCGTAAAGCCTTCAGTTGTGTTCATCATGAAGAATGATGGGTTTTTGTGGAAGAAATAGGTGTACCACAACGTCCGATGATTCTTTACAGTGATACCTGTGCTTTGGATAGTAGGCTAAAGTTAGGAGAAAATACAGAAAAAAGAAAATGGTTTTCCATTAGCAAAGATGTCAGAGAGGTTGATGTCCTTTTTGTTCTATCTGTACATAGATCAGTTCATATGAAAGGCTAGATTAGATTCAGATGCAGAAAGAATGAAAATTGGATGGAGAAACATCAGCAATTGAAGATAGGCAGATGAGACAAATGATATGAAAACAGCAATGGTCTGAAATTGTAATTAATGAAGGTTAAGGAAGAAAGTGCAAACGCAGGATTACAATTGAATATTCAGATGGTTGAAATAATAACCACAGAAAAATTATGTAACTAATGTAGATTGCGAAGATGCTGATATTGTTAAAGATTTTCTACACTTTGTTTCAATTATTAAGCCAGACTTCAGACTGAAACCAAGAAATCAAAAAGAGATTGACATTTGCAAGGGCAGTCATAACCTCCGTGTATCACTGGATCACCAAGCTGAAGATCATTCAAACTATGGTATTCATTATTATATACAGATATATCAAAATTGGAGAATAAGAAAGCTAACAGAAAAAAACCCTGATTCTTTAAAAAGGTGGTGTTGGTAGAGAGCTTTATGGATACCATGGACCACTGGAATGGCAAATACTGTAAATGGGTTGTAGATCAGACCAAGCCTGAACTCTTATTAGAGGCAAACGTGACTAAACTGTTAGATGTTGGCCGTATCATGAAACAAGAAGACTCACAGGAAAAGATAGCAGTGCCAGAACATGTTGAAGGCAATAATAAAGGAGGAAGACATTACAGAAGATGGATTGATTCAGTGAAAGAAGTAACATAACATAGGCATCCTTCAGTCTCGAGAGACCATGGTAACGTGCTCTGTATCGAGGCGTGTCCTCTCCAGAGCATAATGGGTTTTAATTTAAAAGATTTGGGCAGAGCTGTTAATGATAGGACTTTCTGGACAGAATGAATTAATAGTGACCATAAATTGCAAATGAGTTAATGGCACATAATATGTCAAAGTTCAGT